TGTTGAGGTCTGATAATATCATCCACTCTTCTCGAGTTGTCTCCTGTTCTTCAGAAGGTTCATCTTCTGATTCTTGACTTTGAATGACAGCTTGTAATTTGTCAAACCAATCTGGGACATTAGATTGCCCATAAGCCGTTTGTAAAAATTCATGCCAACAATTGATCAGAACCTCGTCAGTTGGATCCTGGTCACCCCATGCATTATTTTGGGTTGCTCTCCACGGTTTATACCTCAACAGTTGATATTTACAATAATGGCCAAAATTGGGACCTTTGGGATTAGGAGAATATGTTGGAAATATTCGTGGTATAACATTCTCTGGCAATTTTGTCAGTTCATTGTTAACAACTTTGTATGTTGTAGCAAATTGAACAAAGTTCATATTTATTATATTTTGTGAACTGTCATACTGTTCACGATTAGCATACACATCAAGAAGTGAATAATCGGTGCATGATTCACCCTCGTCAATACTTGCAGTATCACGCACTCTACGTGAACCATTTAGACTAACTGGCATCACTTTAAAGGATGAGCTGTGGAGTTTTAAAGACAACAAATGATGCATGGTCTCTTGAGCTGCATAATCTCTTTCACCAAGAGATTTCATAGCTACCTTCTTAATAACTCTACGAGGGTCAGTATTACTGTCAACATTTTGCACAATAGAATTGAATGCCTGTTTCAATATAGGTGATCTTGGTTCACCTTTAGCTGCATATTTTGTGAGATATTCAACGCACGCATAGTGATCAATAACGACTTGAATATCGCAGTTAGCTCTCCATCCTTGGAGTTGAAGATGTTGGTGGTTATTTAACCTAGAATCATTTCGTTTAGTCACAATTTTAGCTCTATAATGTTCATTATCACCTGAAGTGTGAATTTTTTCAAATTCTAATTTTGTCTTAGGGCAATTATCAAAAGGACAATAGCTTGTACTACAACGAGTGTGTCGTTGAACCATATTTAACAGATCTACATAATCTGATTGTTCTTCATGTTCTGGAATGTCACTATGTCTTCTTTGACATGGATGAGTTTCAGGTCTTATCCACATGTCTTCCTCTGGTGCATTTGGATTGACAGTTGATAACAACCAATCAACATATTGACATACTGTGTCAGCTGCTTTCTGGCCAGCTTCAATATCCTGGTCTAGTTCTGTTGTATCAGAACAATCATTTTCATCTTTAAATTTTTGAGCTAAGAAACCTTTCAAAGCACTCTGAGTAAGTTGACACAAACCTGGGTCATTGTTTACTTTAGCAGTGCCATGACAATGGATACTACCTTGATATTCATATCGAAACCAGTGCCATTTCGCACCAAGTGTATCATAAAGCCAGTATTTTACAAAGCTTTCTAATCTTTGTGTGAAAAAACAATCTACAACATGGGGATTGTTGATCACATTTTGTCGTCTCTCCTCACTGGTAGAGTTACCTAACTCATTGTCAGTATCAGCTTTAAATAAAGCATGCAACTCAGGCCAATGCATATCTGCAGAGGAGAAAGTGAAAAATAATGTTGGTGCGCCAACACTAGTTATTATAGCCTTGAGTTCCTCCCTTACTCTAGTCCAGTAAGCATTAGTACCTGCAATGTTTCCAACATACCTAGATACTTTAGACGCATTAGCATTGTTGTTGGCAGCCATTTCTCTCAGTTCATCAATAGTGAGATGGGCTTCACCTGGATTTTGTTTTAGAAATATTCCACTTTGCTGTAAGATTCGTTTTCTTCAAATCATGTTAAAAGCCCAGTAAGAAAATCTGGGATGGTTGGCAAAGCGGTAAGGTAAACCCATTTACCATCTATAATTTCACCAAATTTTAATAGGTGTTTAATTTGTTCATGAAGAGGGACATCTCTTAGAAGTCCTTGATTAGTTGGGTCACCTTTTCCATCAGGAAATAATGTTGGGAAAGCCATTGTGGCCAGATATGACACCTGATACTCATTTATTGGCTCATTTTCAACTGAGGGCCATGGCATTGGCTCATTTTCAGAAAGCTGATTTCTAACAGCTTCAAGTTGCTGTTGTTCACTAACAGGTAGAAAACTACTCATTTCAGTAGGGTCATTATAAACTATATCCTCTGATGGATTATCAGTAGGAGGGCCTACATCAGGAGAACAATTGTCATCCGAGACTATATCATCTTCAGTCTCAACAGTCATGAGATCTGGCGGTACACCATTTTAAGGTAAGGAATGCAAAACATCCTCATTAATTGTCACATCAGAATAATGTGGGTTATTCCTTACAAGCCAAATTAAAGCATTGTGCACTTTTTGTTTTTGTACTGTCACATCGCTGAATGTATTCTCTCTACCTTTTACCTTGATAATAATAACAGCCAAGTCTTTGGGGTATCTTGGCAAAGATATTGCAAGTTCTGCAACATTTTGTGGCAAGTTAATACAATGTCCTGTATAACCACGTTGACCACCAGGTTTAATATAAATTCTCATGATAGGTAAAGCACGAGCAATTAACATTTCCTCAATCTGTGTTAAATTTTGCAATTCATATGGTACAGATGAAGGTATCATTGAGTTTTCTAAAGAAAACTTTTTAGGAGTTTTTTTTATCTCTTTTGCATCGTGAACACACATATGGTGACTCTGGTTTAGATTTCAAGGGCCATGCCTCATGACAAACAGTACACTGACTGACAGTATACTGAACAGACTTATGAAACTTATTTAAGTTACCTTTTGCCCAAGATTGCTCTTCAATGCTACCATTTTGGGTGATGTCAAACATATTTAAATAATCCTGTTGACTTATTTCATGTTGAGGTTGAGACACTCTATTTGCACACTTTTGTTTTCGATAAGTTCTAATAAGTTCTGCTGATAAGTTCTGTTTTTGATAAGTAATTTGTGTCTTACTGTTAGTTTTCTGGGACCGCTTTCCTTGTCTAGTCTCACTTGCTTCTTGAAGTCTAATTCTCTTCTCACTTTCAGTTTCCCCCGACTGTTTTCGTTTTTTACACTCACATACTTTTTGAAGTCTCATCAGTCTGTCTTGGTCAGTTTCACTTGACTGCTTTCTCTTTTTATACTCGCGAGCTTTTCGGAGTCTAGTTTGCTTATCAACTTCATGCTCTAGTGAACATCTCTTAATTCTTTGGTATTCTCAATCGTTTTCACATTTAGTCTTTTCTTTAAAAGGGATTAAGTTATTTATTTGCACAGGCACAATTTCATATATATTTGTGTGTAATTCCAAAGACAAACAGTATACATAATGCTCTAATTCTAAAATATTAGTAAACTTTATGACAACAGCTGCTGTGCCATTAGGATCAGGCATGCAACTGGAGTCCCTAGCATGTGAGTCAAATAAATAGAAAAAATCTATTTGCTTTATTATAGCCACCATATAGCCTTCTAATACCAAAATAGCATAACTATTATTTAAGAAACTATTCAAAAGTGCTGTGTGAATGTCATAGTAGGGAGACCCGATTTCTTGGTCACTTATAACAAGACCTTGAAGATCTTTTCCATAATGTATAACCAACATTTGTTTTTCATTCTCTGTCTGAACACCTTCTACAACAATGGGTAAATGGGTATTTTGTGCTACCACCATGGGTAGATCAATGTTATTTTGTGCTACCACCATGGGTAGATCAATGTCATTTTGTGCTACCACCACAGGGTAGATCAACCACGGGTAGATCAATGTTATTTTGTTCTACCACCACGGGTAGATCAACGTTATTTTGTGCTTCCACCACGGGTAGATCAATGTTATTTTGTTCTACCACCACAGGTAGATCAATGTTATTTTGTTCTACCACCACGGGTAGATCAATGTCATTTTGTGCTACCACCACGGGTAGATCAATGTTATTTTGTGCTACCACCACGGGTAGATCAATGTTATTTTCTACTTCAATAGATTCTATTACTAATGGTAAATTATCACTATTTGTCATCATCAAAGGGGAAGTTACTTTCTCTTGTACAGGAGATATATTAGTATCAAATATCTGGTAGGAAAATATGTTTCTACAATATGAAGCACAAACAAACTTAGGTAAGTAATCTACAGACAAATATTCAACCCTTGGGTTTAGGTTTATCAAGCCATTATATTATTCAGAGCTTTTAAATACATTTGGTCTCCTTGTACTAAAATATTATAAATTGTCGTTTCTGACCATTGGATCAAAGGGATATTTCGCGCTGTTAAAAGTGCGGATAAAGTAATAAAAGCACATTGTTTACTTCTAGAATCGGCACTAAAAAGCTCATCGCCTTGATGTATACTTCCAGAAAGAAATAAAGCCATCCACTACCAGTACAATTTTAAAAACAACTTGTATTAATACAGGTAATATCACAGTTTATATAAGAATCGATGTCTTGATGAACACATGGTTTGAAGATTGGAGCCTGATACTCAGGCTGCATGCCCGTTCGCAGGTTCAGGATGGGCACGTTTAAACAAACCTTTGAACGGGCATGCTGCATGCTTCAGAGGGGCATGCTTGTCCTCGGGGAAACAAGATTGTTGTCAAAATAGATCAATCTCATCGCCAATTGGCTGAAAGTGCAGACACGTGGGCAGACTAAGCCATATAACTGCTCAGTGATCCAAATCAGCCTCTTCTGCATCTGAACTTTTGACACTACGGTTCGAAGGTGAGTGGATATCACTACCGTATATATATTTAAAGTTATGATAATTTTGTAGATCATCGGTAGCTATATTGCTTCTCATAGGTTTAAACGTATTTAGAAGTGGAATCAAACAAACTATAGTGTAAGAGAAATAAAATAAACCATAGCGAGAAATATTTGAGTGAAAAAACTCTCAAACACGTGCTCACAACATATGCGTTGTCTTTTTGGAGCAATTTTTGCCCCTATACATGAGTTAGTTGTACTGTTGCAGTTCTTTTGAGATATATTAAAATACACTAATTTAATGCATTGCTTCGTTATTTAGTAATTCAGAAAATAAAGAAAGTCAAATGGCAGGTATATATAATTTTAGATACATTATTAATTTTAAAAATTATATATTCAAATATTGCATTCACTTTTTACAAATACAGTATGTAACTCCAGGAAATATCCATATCTCCGCCATGGAAGAGATTGGAAATTCCACAGAATAGGGGGGTTCATTTCTTAAGATTTCCAGTCTGGGGAGGTACAAAAGCCTGCAAGCAAATAATTGGGTTTATAAACCCATTGAGCGGCAAATATACGGCCCAGTGCACCCTACTTATTTTTTTTTTACTTGTCAAATGCCAGACAATTTTACTCATCAATGGGGAAGCTCTGCAGCTTAATGGGTTAAAGTGTTATTAAACCTATTAAAACACATAAAAAGGTTCAGGTCCTTATCCCTACCCCCACATCACAATATTACTAAAACGATTTGTCTAACAAAATTAAAATTTATCTTGGAACGTGTGAATTGTGTGTTTGTTTCAGATGCGTCACAACGTTGCATAATTGAATTAAAGACCTAAATTTCTATTGCTGCGACCTGCTAAAATATGCAAAGTCTCTGGGCCACACAACATTGGTCATGGCCCCACCCCCAGATTAAGAAAAAAAGGCGAGTGCCTGGGGGGGGATGGGCAATTAAGAGGCAAAATAGATTTTGAACTTTGCTTTTTTTTATATAGATTCCAGTTGTAAATCACCCAAAAAAGAAGTGCAATGTTATGTTCATGCGGTTTCACCTGTGAAGACAGCAACTTCAAATAACCGTAAATATTTCAATTGCACAATTCAAAGTGAAGAAAAAGTCACAAGGGCAGTATGTTTTTCCCCAGACAAACATTCACAGCTGAAAACCCTGCAGCAAACAAAAAGTCCTATAAAGATCGAGAACTTTGGACATGCAAGAAATGATGAGAATGGTGATATGTTAATCCACAAGTTCACAAAGATAGTACCAATAGATGCTACCACAATTTCATTCCCTTATTCAGATAATTTAACTGCTAGTGGTATTATACCCATCTCCTCCATTGCAAATTTAGCTGTGGAGCAGCTTGTTTCAGTTAAGGCAGAAGTTGCTCATTTGTCAGGTGTGAAGATTTTACAAACACAACATCAAGGAACCCTTAAAAAACAAGAGGTTATCATAAGGGATACAACAAGTTCTATCAAGTTGACTCTTTGGGGGAACAATGTTGACACACTAGCACTTAACGATACATATATTCTTAAAAACCTGCAAGTAAAGTCCTTTAACGACACGAAGTTCCTAAACACTGCAAAGGGGGAAGAATGTGTGCATGAAGAGAGTACTCCCTTTGAACAGGCATGTGTTAGTATTGATAACATTACTGATTTTGCAGAGAAGACAATCTTTGCTAAAGTTTTAGGCATTCACCAAGTCACACGAAGTCTCTCGTGTGTTTCATGTAATAAAAAAGTGGTACCGAATCCTGATGATGACAGTCTTGGAGCCTGTGAAAGTTGTTATTTGAAACAACTGACAGAAACGTGTAATGTCAAGTGGTATCTTCGTATACTTGTTCAACCATTGACGGAACCTAATCGAAAGCTGCATTTGACTCTTTTCAACCAACATGTCACAGAGTTGTTGGCCCTTGTCAATACTGATGTAGATCCAGATAAAGCTTCACCAAATGAAATAGAAAGTGCTTTTTTGAGAGCAACAGGAAACATCACTTTCACATTCGACACAATGGACCACAAAGTTATTGCTGTGGAATAGACCGACCAACATTCATGTACAACTTACTGTACTATTTTGAAATATTGATATTTGAGATTATTTAGTGGTTATAGTTAAGGACTACAAACTTATTGGCTATATTGCTGTTTGCAAGCTACTATTAGGCATGAGATTGTGGCAAATGTTGACTGGTTTGCAATCGCTAAACTGACTTTTTGAAACTTAAACAAACCTGAAAAATCACCACGCGTAATGGTAGCTTGCAAACACCAGCATGTATGTAGATATATTTGAAAAAGTTGATATTTGGGGTTATGTTTTGGTTGAGACAGACAATTAGCATGCATGTAGAGCTTGTTGTATTTGCAGAGCTTGTTGTATTACGAAAGTCACCGAACTATGAAATCGTATAAAAAATTTGTATATCGACCACCACAAACGTCTACGACCGCGCCTGCATAATTTTGCATGTTTACAATTCTAATTTTAAACAACCAATCAACATTTAATTGTAATTGTAAACATGCAAAACTATGTAGGTGCGGTCATAGATGTTTGTGGGAGTGGTCAATATACAAATTTTTTATGCGATTCCACAGCTCGGTGACTTTCATAATACTTTCATATTTGAAAATGTTGATATTTGGGTTTATGTTTTGGTTACAGTTGGGTTATTACTTTGTTGAGACAGACATTTATGCATATAAAAACAACTTTCTGTACTTTTGTGTTTGAAATATTGATATTATTTTGGTAATATCATGATTGCAGGTATTCCCTTTGTTCTCGCAGGGCAATTAATAACTAATACACCTCATTATATTCATTTTTTCTAATCCTACCCGCTTTTACGTCATGTCAGGTAGAATTAGTTCTAATCCTACCCGAAACGACGTCAAAGCGGGTACGATTAGAAAAAATGAATATATCTGAAACCGCCAAAACTAAACAAAGACATGGAAAACAATTATACCATTTAATTTATACCATTATTTATTGTTAAATGAGGTTATGCAATAACAAAGGTTAACAGCTAGGGAACCAAGCCTCGTTACGTCGGCACATCATGTGACCAAAAGGGGGCCGGGCGAGTATGTAATAAGAGGTTGGCCGCGCATTGGTGGTATTAGTAATCATTGTGCGTTGGAAGCGTAGTAAACGTATTAGGAACAAAGATTTTAAATTGGCTCGTCCTGTTGCCTACATATCACCAGAGTTCGTGATCGGGCTTCAGAGTTCAGACGGCAGTATCTCAGGTTTCTAACCGTACTGGCAGGGCACCAACGGAAGGAGCGTCGCAACTCGAGATGATGGGAAACCCACCGCAAGTTTCGCTCGCAAAAAAAACACACAAAAAAAACCCCGGTCAGGTAGGCGATAGTTCTCTTCGCCAGAGTACAGGTATGTTTGTTGTTCATTTGTTGATGGTATTAATGTTGCGGCGGAATCCGAGACTATTCCCACAGTTAGCAGCATGCTCGGCGGTGTAAGCTAAAATATAAATAAAGAACGGAGCTGCCCCTGTTTACCTTTGAGGGCACAACGGTGGTGCAGAAACTTAATGCGCATAAAATAAAGAACGCGGTTATAGAATGGGTAGTATGTTTTATAATAGCTATACGGCGGTGCTCACAACCCATATTCACGTCAAGGTCGCGCGATTTGTGGGTTTACATGGCGCCGATCATTCGGACAACTAAACGTTTCAGAGGCAAAGCACAACCGCGGATTCCGCTGCTAATAATTTACGCGCTTGGGGTGTTATGCTTTATATAACTACCACACGGCAGTGGTAAATCATCCGAGTTAGCTAGAAACGTGCCTAGCCCGACCGCACAACGGAGCTTTCGTGAAGAAGCTCAAGCGCATTCAGAGTAAAGTTAGCGATCAATCGCAACGTAATCAAACGTTGCACCTGGTCTAGTTCTGTTAAATGTCTGTCAACACGAACACCTAAACACAGTTGTATTAATAGACAATTTTCCTATTAAAGTTCAGGATTTGCAACTTGCCGCACCTCCAGACTGTTCTAGGTCGAATTTATTGTTAGTTGTCTTCGCACGGGTTTCACAGGGATATTTTTACATCTTCGGTTAGCTGACACAAACTGTTCGTCGGCCTTAGCTCATCCTAATGTCAATGTCCAATGACAAATATCTATCAGACGAAATTCGAGCTCGAACTGTGGCAGGTCCATTTGATACGCCACCTTTTCCTAATTACATTGACCTGAAGGTCAAGTGTCTTAAATCGCTAAATATCTGTTTTCCTGGTTTTTCTTTTTTTTTCGTCGTCGAGAAGTCGATTTTGCATTGGCGTATCGCAGGCTCAAATTCCAGTGTTACAGTTATTCCAGGTTACTATACAGATCAGTTTTCAAGATGGCGGCCATTCAAGAAGTGACCAATGGTATCAGTCTTCACCAACTTATTTCGTTGTCAACGAATTTTAGCGCGTTTTTTCTGTGGATTAGTCACCGTGTCACGTTTTATATTCTTGTCTATTGCACCACAGTGCGTATGTCGTCATTTTTCGGGTCGGTGTGAGCGCCTGAGCGGGCGTCTTGTTTGCATGAGAGTCGATTTGGAGTGATTCCAAAGAAAAACAAACCGCGCGGCGTTTGATTTGAGACATATCGTTTCCAGCTGACCACAGCGTGAACGATGGGATGGAAAAACGAATCTCCAGTAGTTTATAGTACTGTACAAGATGCCACATCCGAGTAATAGTAACGATTGGTTTAATAATAGGGGGCATTAATGGGCAAATGGACACCCAAGGATGTACTGTATTATCCACATTTATCGAGGTAATCGATACTTGTTAGGTTTGAAATGGCGGGGACAATATCTTGTTGATCTTGCTTTTATTCGAGCACTTCTATCATGAGCCCCTGGCTCGAGTGATTGGGCAACCACACTCTGGGTCATTCGACATTAAATAAATTATTCTATTCTATTCCCTTTGGTCTACGAAACGCCCCGGGAATCTTCAACTCATTGGGGGATGCTGTCGAGTGGATTTTACAGCACAACTGTCGTGTTGCCGATTTTTTGTATTACCTTGACAATCGATTTTTTCACACTTGGCCCAGCTGGTGCTATGGTTTGCTCGAAATCTCAACGCCTTGCAGGTACATCACTCGACATCGGCAGTCCTTTAGCTCCGGACAAATGCGAAGGTCCAGAACGGCGAGCCCCTGTCGCGCAAGCAATTAGTTTTGTGGATACACGATTCAGCGGCTTGGTTATGCCTCGAGGCATAGTTATTAACTATGCTCGAGGGCAACTACTCAGGACATAGCTTCGAATCGGAGTGGCGACAACGGCTGCGTCGGCTGGTGTTGTTCCTGACTTAACTTGCACGAGTAATTTAAAGTGGGATTTGGGATGAATTGGGGTAAGCACAAATAATATTCGATATGAAACTAACAAACTCGTGTGACATGTTGTCTCTTGTGTTTGGGCTTATAAGGTACAAGACTAACAAGAGCTGAGTTACCATACATTCTGGTATCACTCGTAGGTCGCATTTTGCAAGGTGTTCCGTTATATACCATATGGGCTGGTATTGCTTGTGACCCACAATTGGTTACGTTTTATACGATACAGTCTGGTATCGCTTGGGAGTCGCAAGTCGTGATACGTTTCCCGTAATACATTCTGGTATCCCTAGCCCACAATTTGTTACGTTTTATACCATACTGTTTGTTAGCACCTATGGGTTGCAATTCGCAATATGTTTCGTTATATACCACACAGTCTGGTATCGCTTTGGGCCCACAATTTGCTACGTTTTATACCATACAGGTTGGTTCCACTTGTGGGTCGCAAATTCGCAATGCGTTCCGTTGTATACGATACAGTCTGGTATCGCTTGTGGCCCAAAATTTGTTACCTTTTTATTATTATTATTAAGTCTTTATTAAACATAGCCACAACAGACGTGTGACTTTACATTTAAAATTCTCATATACAAGGTTCCAAAAAAAATAAATAAACTTAATTATTATTATGTATCTAAGTTAATTATTCTTAGGTAGAATTCTTAAAAAGACTACTACTTATATACCATACAGTCTGATATCGCCTTATGTGTCGCAATTCTAACAGAATCTTTTTACAAAAGGATGCATGTGACACAAAATACCCAATCTCAGAAATAGCGAAAATCATTTAACTCTTCCAAAACCTAGAACAGAATATCTAAGAAGAAGCTTTAAGTACAGCAGCCTATGTTATGGGATGACCTTTCGTCTGCAGCGAAATCGGTGGATACTCTCGATTGCTTCAAAAAAGAGATAGGTGCAAGCTAGACGATGACTCTGTGCCATATGTGCTAATCTAACTTTTGTATATGGTTGTATATAATATTTTTAAATTGTAACTTTGTAACTTAATTATTTTCTTT